AGTCTCATGTGAGTTTTCAAATTACTGGTGCTACTGAAACGTTTTTTACAGACAGTACACTCATGTGGTTTTTCTCCTGTGTGGACAAGATAGTGCTTTTGAAGATGAGCAAGTTGGGTGAAACCTTTACTGCAAGTCTTACACACAAAAGGGCGTTCACCAGTGTGAGTACGTAAATGCACTTTTAGATTGGAAAGCTGACCAAAAGTTTTGGAGCACACATTACATTCATAGTGCATTTTTCCATCTTTCTTTTTCAGTGGAAATGGCAAGGAACGATAACCCCTCATGTTGTTTGCATTCAAGCTATTCAGCTGAAGGTCCATCTTTGGCTTGCTGAGGTTCAGAGCTTGGTCATGATGGGGGTGACTGGTCGTTGGGCTAACTTGCTGTATATTTTGGCTCAGGTAAGCATTTTGCATGGCTTGATAAGCAGGGTACAAATGATGCCAAGGCAAAGCTGCTGCATATTGATTCATAGGTAACATTCCGTTCATTGAATACAAATGGGCAAAGCCTGGGTGTTGGTAGAAAGGATAGAGTGGGCTACTGGCTGTAAGGCCAAATGGATGAAAGGGCGTGGGTGGGACTTTCCCCAGTAATCCTGGTCTCAGATCCGGTTTTAGATAACCTGGGAAGTCTAATTTTGGTGGGCCATGGGGAAAACTGGCAGGAGCATTGGGCAATGGTGGCAATAATTTGGCAGGCATTGGTGTTGAGCAATTTGGCAAATTTGGATGACTTGGTTCTGGTTTGATAGGCATCACGCCGTCTTTCCTCTCCTTTTTAATATCCTTTGTCATTGCTACAGTTTCTCCATCTTTTTCTTTTTCCTCATTTTTGATTTTCAATGCATCTAAGGACTGTTCATCCACTGTTTCTCCACTTTCTTTCATCTTCTTGATTAATAAATTCTCAATCATGACAGCACCTGGGCGTTTACTGGGTATCTTGTATCCATTTTTTGTGGGGAATCTTTCAAATGCACTGTCACTTTCATCTTGACTTTTTTCCGACCCTGGACTGCTGCATGGAAAGGGATCATGTTTGGGTAGTGGACTGGGGCATTGTTTTTTTAACATGTCGAATACCTCTTCCTTTTCTGGACTCTGTTTGGGCTGGACCTTTGGACCAACAGAACTGGGAACTGTCTGGGCAGTTGGCGCTGGATTTTGTTCTTCTTGTTCTTTCTCTGAAGTTGTCTCTAAATGATGTATTTTGGGCATTTTCTTTAGACTGAAGTCTATGACACCATTTGGATCCTTTTCGAGTCTTGTCTGGCTGGTTCTGCTGTTGTTGCAGTAGTTTGGCATGGCAGGTACCCTGTGATTTGGAAGTTCTGCAGGGAGTGGGCTGAGTTGTTCTTCTAAATGAAAAAAATTAAGTTGAAAGGATTAAAGACTAAAATAAGCACTTTAGAATGTTAGTACAAATTTCATGATTTGAAGCAATTCATTCTGGTCTTACTGGAAGACTTCTTACTGTATCAAATTCCATGATCAATAATGACATGGAATTTGTAAAACCTTTTTTTTTTTCCAAAATAATGTGCAGTTTCAAAGGAAATAAGTTTCTTATATGCTACTGCTAATTAAGAAAAATATTATTTTATGTAATGCATGTTACAAGTCTGAACATTTACAAAGTTTTTGTAAATTCATGCATTACTTTCTAAGCAAAAAAGATATAAAACATATATTAAACTTCCAAATGTTGAAAAGGTACGAAAAAAATAAATAAACATTTATCATTTATTTCAGCAAGAATTTTCCAAACTGACAACTTTGTTCAACTGGCCATATAAAATATCATCAAAACTTACTCATTTTATACTTGTAAATCTCCTCAGCTGGGGGAATGTTCAGACGCTCAGCAAACTCCTGACAGTACCAGAACAAGAGCTCGGAGTCTGGAGGGATGGGCCTTACAGTGTAGAAATATATAGCATGGTCCACCTGACAAACTACTATGTTCTGGGCCTGCTTGGAGGGGGCGCTATTCACATACCGAAGCCAGTTGCTTTTCTTGGGATCAAATATATTGACATACAGGTACAGGTCATGGTTGTGGTGGACCTGAAAAATAAATCAAGTAATAATACAGCTGTAACATAAAGGAATGAAAAAAACTGCATACTTCTTTAAAAGGAAGAAATGAATGAATGATAAAATTAATAAATAAATCAATTAAAATACCTTTTTATTATTCAGGTATTCTTTTGCCCCCCCAAATTAGACCCTTAATAGACAAAATAATGGCGACTGTAAACCCATACTCTGAGTGCATTTGGTGTTACTAGCTCATTGTGACAGTTGAGCCAAAGGGACATCCAAGTACATTTGCATATTCCACCATTTATTATGTACAACTTTGGTAAAAATGTTTTTTTACAAGATTAGAAAACAGTGAACTGGAGATAAAATCCTTTTTGGTTTTAATCCATGAGTTTGTTTGATTCTTAAAGCAGTCCCTATGTTCATTTAAAATTACTAATAATTGGTAGTGCTTCATATTTTTAATAAGCTGAAAAGGTTAACTTTTTCTTGCTGACAATTAAAATAAATTCGCAATACCTTCCCTCTTAATATAAAAATAGTTCACAATGGGCACTTGACCAAAAAAAGGACAAATCAGGAAAAAATGAGAAGAAACATTAGCAAACAAGGGAAAAATGAGACCCTGCTTTATCCTGCTGTTTTATGTCATAACATTTCCTTCTTCCTTGTTCAGAACCATCTTACACCACAATGACCCAATTCGTGATTTTTTTCCTTTTCCTTTTTTGATTAAACTAACCAGGCCACTAAAACCACATAGGCCATAAAATGTAAATAAATACACTTTCAAGGGTAAACAACATTGCCTTGTCAAAATACCAAAGAAAAAAGTCAGACATCATTCCTGTGACATAAAATTACTCACTGATGTTACAATTATTTTTGGGAGGAGAGGTGGAAAGGAGAAGGGATTTGAAATTTTCTAAGAAATGGAGTACAAACTAACATTGAAATAGTACTGAAAATAATTGCTTGAAAAATGTTCTTAGGGCTCATTCACAATGGAATTTCAATTCTACCTGGATCTCTCCAACTCCATGGGGGTTCTTGCTGAATGTATTTCAGATTAATGCCTATATATTGCTGAATATTTCTTTCTTTCTTTCTGTCTTTCTTTCTTTCTCTTTTGTGAAGTACTTCATCTGTTTTTTTTTTTTCAAAATGTGTTCTCACAAGTCACATCAATTTTGTGTATAAAATGCAGGTGAAATTTGAATTTAGTGAAAATATCAAAGTGTTATCAGCTATGAAAGCGATGGGGGTTAAAACTATACTAATACCCTTATTGCAGGTCATATATGGCTTCAAATCCCTCCTGAGTGCAGATTTACACTAAAAAGATAACATTTCACACCAGTATTTTAAACAAAAAGATCAGAAGATTAAGAAAGATTGATTGTTTTTTTGTCACAACTGCATCTGCCTTGTATTATCCATGGTGTTCTTATGCAATTTTTTTGTTTGTTTTTTTTAATACATAAGGTGTTAAAATATAAAGAGTTTAGCAAGTATTTGTTAAAACAGGAGTGTGCTTTTCATTTTTGAAATAAAATAATTTCTACAGTTGCAAACAATTTTTATCTCCTTCATAGTATTATCTATTATTCTCCAGAGCAAATATTAAACTAATATAAATATATTCTCTCCCAAAAATCTCTCTGCTCTTATAGACATATATTATGGCCTAATAAATCTATCCTAGTAAATCTGTCTGCAATCATAAAGAATTTGAGATTTCATTTGTATGGCTTTTTGTCACCTTCATCAGTCTTACTGAATTACCTGTTATATGGCAATTAAGCAACCAATACCGCATATGTTCCATTTCTTTGTTCTCACAATTAAAAGTGTTGGTAGTGCTTAAACATAAAAATGCCCATTAAAATGGGCCCTTGTCAAATAATAGGAATATACCTTGTTGCATGCAAACAAAACTTGCATAATCTTTTGGGATGAAGTTATCAAGGGGAAGCAAAGTAATAAAATCTAGAGTCTTTACAAGAGATAGACACACAATCTTATCTCTGTTGAAAGTGATTGCAGCTTTCGGTGAAAGACAAGTGCCTAACCACGCTAGTGCAATAAAACAATCTGCAGTAAATGGCAATCTACTGAGTTTCAATTGATAGGTTTAATTGGAGGATTTTAGGTTCACTAACTAGCCTACCCTCCAGAATTCTGGTCTTAATAATCAAGAATTTCAATTTTCATTAATGACATCATCAATAAGCCAAGTAGTTACTGTGCAAAATTTTCTAAGAAATCCTAATGTCATAATTGTTCAATAAAATACTACTAATACTTATACCCTCGAGATTTAACATAAGTTCCGTGGCAAATTAAATTAGATAGGTATTCTAAGTAAATGCACCTCTCACCTGCATAGCAAATTGTATGATACTAGGAAAGATGGCCATTGTAATATAAATCAAGCCTAATGAGTCAAGATAAATGATTTAAGTACCCTTAACCTACAGCTGTATTAACGAAATGTAGACTAGTCACCTACCAATGATAATAGTGAAAAATGAGAGAAATTGAAACCCATGGCAGTTGAAAGTATTGCATGCATTTACCCCACACAACAATACTTTAACCCAAAATTTCATTTAAATTCATCTAAATTGCAAAATTCAGTAAATGAGTAAATGGACAAGAGAACAAATCAATGGACAAACAAACAATAAAACTAAGCAACAGAGGAATGAAAGACAATAAATGTATAAAATAATAAATCCATTCATTGGAAATGTCTTACTCTTTTCCAAGTGATCACTTGTTTGATAATCAGTAAAAGCAATATTTTAGATATATCTCAATACACACCTGCCACAAGAACTTCTTCTCAGCAGTTCTAGGAATAGAATCCTTGGTGAAGATCTCTCCTACCAGGGGACCAAATCTTGTTCCTTTTGGTATGTAGTCTGTGCTCCATACACCAACAACCTATCAATATCAATAAATAAAAAAAATCAGATTATTTAAAAGAAGTATCACAAAAACATCCTTTCAGTGCAAAGAAAGTTTTTCCCCGTTATATTGCAGAGAGGAAATCAAGTCTGTCCTTTCTCATTTCGGTCTGTCATTTCACTTTTATGGCAGAATTTGCCATCCCCACCCCAGTTTCCCTTCTTCCATGCTTGAGAAAATTCAATTAAAAACCTATATTGTTGAAAACCATAGCTCTTTCAGGGTTTCGAATCATCAGGTGTATATAGGCTATCCACCCTGGCTTTTTTAAATAGCTGATGCCAAAATTTCACAACTCAAAGCAAGCCCGAAAAACACATACCAGCTGCCTGCTTGTATAGAGATCCCATTAAAAAAAGGGAACTTCTTGAATGTAATTTTCAAGCAATGAAAATTGTATCTTCAAAGTTGGACCATGCTTCTCCCTGATAGATTAAGAGTTAGCTCATATGAGAAGTTGTTAAAAATGACTGAACCTGACCTGAAAGGCTTCCAACTCCTGCTCTAACTCATGACAATCATATTCTGCTTTTCTTAGTCCGTAACTGTCTGTTTAAGAAAGGAAAACTGAAGAGCAGAGTTTGTTCTTACCTTATCTTTTCCAAACTCTCAATTTATTGATTAACAAGTCTTTTCACTTTCTTCTATTTTGATACAATCTCAAGAGTTGGAGAATAAAAAAAAGCATGGCCAGTATGGCCTTTCTACTGATTTCTACTGAGACTGTATTTACATATTGAGATTCTTAACTGACTCTAGTTTGCCTTCTCCATTACTTTGTTGATATGTGACATTTCAACTATGTTCTGATACTCTGCTTCTTTTCTTGTGGTTCAATAAACCAGTAATATGTGACCATATTGTAGGTGTTGTGTACTCAGTCATGTTTACTGTCCACTAACTTCAACTTTCTAGTGCACGAACCAGCCATTTAGGTGTTCTTATTGAAAAGGTAATAACATTAATGAAAGCCAGATTTTTGCATGAACAAGGAGAATTAGGCTGCATACCATGCAATATCTTAAATGCCTGGTAGTATTTAGAAAGACTTCTTTTATTGCATTTCATATTTCAAAATTAATGGTCAGCAATGACCACCTGATACATCTGACTGCTCATGATTAAATATTGATTAAAAGGGGAAAAAAATGTGTGATGAAAAGGAAACGTTGATTTAAATGATATTCAATTGTGATTAAAGAAAAAGACAAGTAAATGAAAAAAAGCAGCTGACCAATCTGTAACAAGCTGATGCAATCAAATTATATCTGACAGCAAAGACTGATTGAGAATCTTTTTATTAAGTCAACTGTACAACACACTTTCAATGAACTACAGAATAACACATGTCATGCATATACTGGTAACAATTATATCAATATCTCTGCCAATAGGACATCTTATATCTTTGGTTCAANTTTACATATTGAGATTCTTAACTGACTCTAGTTTGCCTTCTCCATTACTTTGTTGATATGTGACATTTCAACTATGTTCTGATACTCTGCTTCTTTTCTTGTGGTTCAATAAACCAGTAATATGTGACCATATTGTAGGTGTTGTGTACTCAGTCATGTTTACTGTCCACTAACTTCAACTTTCTAGTGCACGAACCAGCCATTTAGGTGTTCTTATTGAAAAGGTAATAACATTAATGAAAGCCAGATTTTTGCATGAACAAGGAGAATTAGGCTGCATACCATGCAATATCTTAAATGCCTGGTAGTATTTAGAAAGACTTCTTTTATTGCATTTCATATTTCAAAATTAATGGTCAGCAATGACCACCTGATACATGTGACTGCTCATGATTAAATATTGATTAAAAGGGAAAAAAATGTGTGATGAAAAGGAAACGTGGATTTAAATGATATTCAATTCTGATTAAAGAAAAAGACAAGTAAATGAAAAAAAAAGCAGCTGACCAATCTGTAACAAGCTGATGCAATCAAAATATATATCTGACAGCAAAGACTGATTGAGAATCTTTTTATTAAGTCAACTGTACAATACACTTTTAATGAACTACAAAATAACACATGTTATGCATATACCGGTAACAATTATAGGACATCTTATATCTTTGGTTCAAATTTTTTTTTTTTTTTTTTTTTTTTTTGGGGGGGGGGGATTTCATAAGAAGACATCGCAAACAATGGGCATAATTACACAACTTGTCATCTCTATAAGTTACAACTTTTATCCTTTCTATAATCATTTTATCATTGCACCTTTTTGACAGCTTTCGTCAGGTGCTATTAAACTATTCACAAAGCCACCCCTGCCTTAATCTCTCTACAGATTATTGTTCTACATTTTGATAAAGTGAGGGTCTTAATTGCCCGGATTAAGTCATCGTCCATCACGCACCTTGTCTCAAGCGGGGATTTACTATCGCTTACAGAGAGTGAACTATTTGGTCATGATAGCAGACTGCTGGCAAGTTTCACACGTTGTCAGGTGGCCAGAAACACAAGGCACAAATCCAAATATGTGAAGAGTGTTGAGTAATAGAAGCAGAATATATCTCAAATACTGTGACAGTAATATTAAAAGAGGAGTGGTGAGGCACAGTGTGAAAGCAACAGCTTGTGTTTTAGGGGGATAGGGAAACCTTTCAAGTTTTCCTGATGTGAAGATAACCTTGATAAGTCTTTCAATTTTTTTTTAAACAAAAGTTCACAAAAGACTCCCTTAAGTTAAAAATTTTAAAGTCATTTTCAAATTGTCACAAAAGAACAAAAAATTTATTTGATGAAAAAAATCCCAGTTCATTTTTCCCAGACTACAGAACCACAAAGACAAAAATCAATCTTTAATCAAAGTTCATAAAAGGAAATTACTTTCTGTCAGCCTGATCAATCTTGCACATGTAAGCGTCATTGTCCACTTGCTTTGGTGTGTTCAGATGATGGTAGGCTAGCATGCAACGGTACCAGCATACAATTATAAAAAACATGAGCTCTCTCTCTTAGAATGCGGGACTTTAAATGAATGATGGCATGTCTTTTCTTTATTTCTCAAGCTCACCATTTGGCCATACAGCTTTCTATAGAAATAATATTTTTGTCAAATGACCGCTTCCATGTTTTAATTAACTTCTATCTTCAGGTCACCACTATGCTTTTTACCCCAAAGGATATTTAGCATCTCACCTTAATCGCAATTAAAATATAGCCTCAACAAAAGCATATGACATACTCTATTTTCACATTACAATTGGGTGCTTTCATATTTTTTTATTGGTAGAAGACGATGCTACTGGTACATATCTTTTCAACTAGAAAATTGGCATGATGCTGTGTGAAAATCTCAGAGTCCATGTTAATCAGAACGTGAGGAGGAAGTCATGAAAAATAAAACAGTATCCATTTCTTTCAGTTTGAGTGAAGGCTGATTGAGGCTACATTGGCAAGAATTATTTACCCAAGTGAAAATATAACAAAACTTCACTGGTCTGATCAATGGCTTCTGTCCTCTTGTAGATTTTGACAGCCTTTGGGATTTAGCTTGGCGTGAATGATAAATTGTCATTTAATCATTTGATCCCTTTTCCAATTACTAATATCCCTTTCTCTCGCCTGCTGTGCACCCCTCTGCTAGATCATATGAGCTGGGAGAGAAAAGCACCTTGATTTGTAAGGGAAACAATTGCAGACCTTTGATTATGTAGTCAACATTTTTGCCAGCAAACAATTAACTTCTCCTGATGACAAAGCTAATGACTTTGGCTTTCTAATCTTTCACCATCAAATTACTCCCAAACTGTGTGAAACACTATATAGCCCCCGGTCCACTTCAAGGGTCCACTTTCATTTTAATCGACCATTTTTTGAAAAAGAGCAAGAATTTAGGAATGACAGGTATTTATGGCAGTAACAGAAAGTTGCATCTGGAAGTCTAAATTGCACCAAATGTGAGAAAAGTATGGTGTTTTCCATTGGGTCTGGCCCTCTTTACTACGTGATGCACAGTTTGTAAATCTTTGATTAGTAGACACTGTAAGTAATTCAATATCATCCAATATCTTCACATGGAATCATTAATACCAAGTTGATTTTTTTTTTCAATTTCAAAATGTCATGAATTCTGGTAACTGCATAACACGGAGAAGATGGAACAGGGAAGATGAGCTGAAACCCTTTGTCAATCCAAGGCCTCTGTCATCTGACACTTGAAATAGCATTTCCATCACTATTTTCTCTTATCACTTTCCAATCTTTTTTCTTTCATTGTTAAAAACATCATATGTGAATGTTTTCTTTTTTCCTTCAAAAAAAGATGGACTTCCCTTGTCCCGATACAAAAGTCGCATCCCTCTAGTCTGCTGATCATTATCAATGTGTTTTAAAAGTTTATTTAAAACGAAATTCAATCGGTACTAAAGAAACACATCAATTATGGGAAAATGAAGTCGATTTGACTTTTACTGTGAAAAAAAGTCAACTGCTGTTTTTACCTTGGCACCACCCAGGAGTTTGCTTTCAAAAGCATGTTGCTATTAATTTGCATCTGATACAGTCTGATAGTGTGTACACATTGTAAGTTATAGATGGTATCTAAATCACCATCGAAATATAAAATTTCACTTCAGCCATACCTTGAAGAGCAAGTAACCCTAAGACAGGAAGAGGACAGGCAGGAGACATGAGGAATAAACATGGCAAAATTACTACAGACTTAAAAATCTATCAAATAACAATTTTGTTGATGAAAAAAAAATCAATATTAAGTTTGATGTTCTGATTGTGCATGATCTGTTGTCTTCTTATTTTCATATATATATGTTAAGGTTTCCAAAACAGTTATATTTTATCAAATACCTTGACACAAGACAAATGAAAAATGAGTAGCTACAGGTACATACTATATGCATAAACAATTCTTTTGAATGTGAAGCCATTCAAATTTACAAAAAACATTCTTGGTATATTGCATCTATATCAAATGATCTACAAAACATGCTGAAGACATGAGAAATGTAAAAATAACAATAATCAGGTAAATGGAGAATACAAAAAATGATATTTTGACACTACATCTATTCGATAGGTCTTAAGTATAAAAACAAAGACAAAGCAGCTTACATCAGTGAATATCTGTGAAGGTTTGAGCACCAGGTTCCTGGGTAAAGAGGCCTCTGCTCTGTTAGGTAGGTCTCTGTCACAGGGTTGGTCAGGTACTATGTAGACACATCTTTTTTCATACTCTTCCTCAGGCAGACTCAGCAAGTCAAGATCTTCTCCCATTGTTTCTGAAGAAAAAAATTAATTAAATTTAAAAAAAAGGTATAATCCTACCAATATTAATGTGACTATGTGTGCATTAACTGGCCAGACCTACAACCTTTCTTTTTTCAAGATTTTCTCTGGTTTTTACAGCAGCTACAAATCCATTTGACTGCTTCATTTTTAGCTAAGCAGCAATGATGGCATGAATCCTTATTTTTGTCAACAATCATGATAAATATTTTTCATAAACCTCATTAATTTTTTTCTTGCTTGTGGAGTTTCACAGGTGAATGGTTCTGGAAGGCCAATACTGAATGTAGAACAACTTACAACTCCAAGAAGAAGGACAACTCTGTTCCAAATGCAAATAAAAGTTCAAAGCTTAGTCATAAACCTCACAGAAACTCCCTTCTTACTTTCATCTCCATCAAATTCTGAATAAATGCAAAAAATATGATGTAATCCTTAATAGTTTTTAACAACAACGAACCAGTTTCACTATTGGTTCTAAATTTCAATCCTAGCTCTGACAACTTAATATGCTGTTGGCCAATTAAGTTATCAACTGAATGGCGTAACCAAAAATTTTAAATGTACCTCTTCAAAGTACCAAAGCTCTTCCACTTTTACTTTAAAGTTCGTTTTTTTGCATCTAAGTTTCTATCTGTAAAAAAGCCCCTGCCACAATTCATATGCAGTACATGTGAAAAACATCACAAGTTAAGTCATTTTATTGTATTTTCAAAACACGGACACAAACCAAGGGCAGAAAATAGATGTAAACATCATGGCTTCAGACCACAAATAAGTTTCCCTTCTTGGGTGGTTTAGATAAAAGTTTAGGAATGTAACTTGTCTGTTACTTTGGTTGGATTAAATGTTAACTAAAGAGTGTGGACTTTCACACATCACAAGGAGTTATATCACCCTACCTCTCAGATTGGAGAAGCCTGGCATGATAACTCCTTTCACCTTAGGATTAGGGGAACAATGACTGGGTAGGCCAGCAAGAGGGGGGTGGAGGAGGGGGGGGGGGAAGGATATGTACAAGTATATAAACTATTTTCAGGACTTAATTTATGGTGTACTTTGATAACTGTACTTTGTGAAGGTGATATCTGCATGATGTTTTGGTAAATGCAGCTATTTATTTAATAAATGCACATTTCCACAATCACTAACCTGATGTGACTCTCTGTGTAATAAACAAACACTTTTTATTCAGTTTTACTGCATTAAGTACTGCAGCCTTTTACCTTTCATCTTAAAACAATTTTTTCAGGCTGCCCTCATTCTTAGAATATCAGGTCAAACAAAGGGCCATCAATCTTCAAGACCACCGCTTGACATCTATAACTGATAAGAGATGACACCAGATCACAAGATGTTGTGAAATAAACAACAAAATCATTCTACGCCCCTTTATATTGATTTTGCTTCAATGGTGATACAGATAGCCTATCACTTATTGTGCTTGGCACTTTCAGCTCCATACAAAACTGGGCACAAATTTGGGGGGTGGGGGGTGGGGGGATGGGGGGTGGTGATGACCAAGGTATAATTGGTCATTTTGCTAATTTTTTCCTTTGAATATGAACCCAAAGGTAAGTATATCATATGCTCAGCTGATTATCACCTATTTGTTCAGAACAATAAAAATACAACATTAAGCTGTTCAATGAAATTAAAACATATTGATGAAAACATGAACTGTTGATGTATTCTGAGGGCAATCAAAGGGTTTGGGTACACACCAGACTGGCCAAATAATAAGATCACTTGATTTAAACTTTCATACTATCTGTGCACTTTTTCAGAAGGAAATGTGTTTCAAGTATGATTACATCCTGATGTCAAAATGAGATGGGGGTCTTGAAAAATGAAAAATAAAAATAAGATAAACATCTAAAATGAAAGAAAAAGTGACACATGGCAGTAACAAACACCAATTAGATTACATTTGGTGAATTCAAGGAAGTTAGCCTCAATTCCTCATCTTTATACATAACAATATTGCAAAGATTAAAAAACACACCATGAGTGTGTTCTATAAATAGTAAAAATGAAAGTGAAAGTAAACAACATGGCAGATAAATAATAGTAGCAGTTGTTTACAGTTCAAACTCAGTTAACTTAGCGTGACTGTTTCCTTTACTTTTTTAATCATCTGCTGACTCCTGATAAGAATTGAAATCTGAATCAGGCGACGTTAAAACACATAGTTTCAAAAATAAATACTTTCACTTCTGTTATGTCAACAAATGTAGCTTGGAGATATGGAATCAAGCTTTAAGCCTTTCTCTCTCTCTCTCTCTCTCTCTCTTTCTCTCTCTCTCTCTCTCTCTCTCTCTCCTTTTAAAGCAAAAAATATTTGACTATTTCAATGGCAAGGAAAAAAACTTCTCATTGCGGTGACACACATCCTGCTGTAGCTAGCTGTTAAAGAATATTTCATCCAAATAGCCTTATGTAACTCACAGGTTAACAATACATGTTGAGGTTGACTCACTTTATTCATACAGCAACATTAACTACCTTTATATCATTTATCATTTCCATAACTTTAACCTATAGGTTTACCTGCTCCATCCCCACCCATCCAAGTGAATGCTCAAAAAAAAAAAAAAAAAAAAAAAAATTACTTAAGCCTTTCAGAATGTCTCTGAAGAGCATTTGGTGTTAAGATTTATAATCAATCACTTGATTCGAGTTTACTATCTAAATAATCAATGACAGAAAAATAAAAAAACTGAATTAGGAAAAAACACTTAAGATGTAAATGATGAATGAATACAAAACTTGATTTTCCATACCTTTGATATTTATGTTAGTGTATACCTGGTTGGGGTATCCTGTTCCGAATACACACAGAACACTACACTGTTTACACTAACCAGACTGCACGTGTGTGTGTAGTTAATAATAATAATAATAATAATAATAATAATAATAATAATAATAATAATGGTTCAGTTGTTGCTTTCTGCAAATGTTTTTTTTTTCTCAGTGGTTATTGAAATTCCTTGCAAAAAATCAATGTTTTGGCAATGTCACAAGTAAAATGTTTATAATTCTATTTCTTTGTTGTGGTTGAGTAAAGAAAAGTTTTCTTATATAATCCTTCTCAATGACAAGTAAAATGACTTAAACATTCTTATGACAAGTATTTATATTATATTACTAGAAAATAAAATGTCATAATTCTTTAATTAATTAATTCTTTAATTAAAATTTTTTTCACCCATTATATTTCTGTATAGCCTTTTTCAAGGTGGAGATGAAATAACAATCTTCATCACAGTTAAAATTTCTTCAAGCTGATCTATAGGTGCTTAAAAAACTAAAATCAATCATTAAATGCATTCTAAATATGACACTGCCTGAAACTGTTGACTTTTTCAGTAAAATACAGCCACCCATCTCTCAC